TTTTTCCCTATGGGAGTTTGCAGTCATCAACAAGAAATACAACCTCTACATGGATGACTGCAGTGGAAAGGAACAATGTGAGGCATGTGGCTGACAGACTTGGTGGCCTTCTTGTGTCCTGCACCCCATTTGGGCAGCCCTGTCATTGTAGTCCCTTGTCCACACCAGCAATGTAGTCACGTGATCACTCCAAGCCCATCTCATTACTGTCGTAGCTTGCTGACGGTCACTCACAAGCTCCTTTACACATCACTGTACGTTTCTAGAGACAGCTAAGACCTGCTGCCATTTATTGTGCACTCTGTTCCAGGTACTGTTTCAGGCTTTATCTCTGTTTCTTCTTTCCATCCTTTGTCAAAAGAAAAGCACCTCCCTGTGCAACAGTATTTGAGATGGACTTACTGTTTGCTAAGAGTAGTTGTATCTCTAATCAAGCCAAACCTTAGGCTTGTGTAGAATTTTAGGGAGGGCATGGGTTTGAGGGACTGATGGGTATGCAGGAGTGAGAATTTAATTCTATATAGGGTTGAATAGCCTTCACCGGGGAGGCTGTGGTTTGGGGCTGCTTCAGAAGAGCAAAGGACTACCACTGGGAAAAAGAGAGAGGCCAGAAAGAAGATAGGAGAATGAGGAATAGAGAGCATGGAGAGAGAGAGAGAGAGAGAGAGAGAGAGAGAGAGAGAGAGAGAGAGAGAGAGAGAGAGAGAGCGGATCCTTTTATGTGTGGTTCCTTTAATAATCAGAGGCTGTGAATAGCTGCCTGATTCCGAGCTCTTCTTTTAGTCCCCCTGTCTCTTCTCTGGCCCATCAGCTGTGTTGGACCATGGCATAGTTATTGGAGCTGATGATGTTGGTCCTGGCAGAGTTGAGGACTGGTGATGCTCCAGGCAGGAGGCCTCTAACAGGGAGGAGGTCTCTACCCAGCACTTGGATACAGAGATCTTGATATTACTGCAGAACAGAATTTGAGAACACATCAAAGTAAAGATCAAGGAAGTTTATTAGTAAAAGCAAAGTAAAGGGAAAGATAGATAGTCCACACCCCAGACATGAGGATGGACACATCTGATAGCAAATACAGTGAGTGCTTTAGCACCAAGGTCTTTTGTGATATAAAAGGTTGGGGTTCAGTTCAAATTAAAGTCACTTTAGAATAAGGTGTTTTCCTTTGATGTGACACCTGGTACATTTATTCTCTCTTGTTGTTACATTTTTATCAATTGAGCTCAGTGACTTGAAGATTGACCTGCCTATTAAAGATGTCTGGGCATTCTTTCAAAGAAAGGATGGATTTTTTTCACTTACTCCCTTCAAGACAGATGTCCATGCTTGAAATAAATAAAACTTTTAAACATATTCTATGCCAACTTGGAACTATTTTCCCAAGTATTATTTTTTTCCAGGATAAGTACCTCTAAGTCATGTATCAAGTACACTTTGTTTATTTTTCCACGATAAGTATCCTTAAGATACTGAGTGAGTTTCCGGAGCACACTAATTATTTGGGGCCATTAGTCAAGGCCAAAGGGAAAAAGAGCTGCTCTTTTTCCTTTTCTTTTTTCCACTTTATTAATATTGCAGCTTATGAGGGGGTAGAAGGCTTAAAGCAAAGAAAACAGTGCTCTAATAGAGCTCTAATAGAGCTATTCATTTAAAAAACTTTATTGTTATTGGAAAGGTGATGTAGAGAGAGGTTACAGTTACATAAGTCAGAGAAAGAGTGTGTTTCTTTTGAATAATGACACCTTCCCTTCCCTTGCTTTCTCCCAGTTTTTCCCTCCCATCCCCATTTATTAATTGCTTTTTTTCCCTTGAGAAACAACAAAAAGTGGGCTAAAGACTTAAAGAGGGACTTCTCAGAAGAAGTTAGAATGGTCAATAGACCATGAAGAAATGTTCAACATCTCCAACCATTAAAGAAATGGAGCAATTCTTCGTACAAGTGCTTGTTTCTGAATTCCTGGCTACTATTTCTCATACTTCATTTTCCCTGTTCTACCCTGCCTCAGTATCTGCCCCACCTCCAGACAAAGAAAGGTGCCTTCTGCTTGAGTGGGTCCAGTCTCTTTCCTGTGAGCTCAGATCAGAAGCTTGCATGTAGACAGCTGGCCATAACAGCCCAGAGGCAGAGCCTTCCCACTGGCTGATGAGTCAATAGAGAAGAGATATCTACGGAACTCTACAAACTGCCTTGAATGCATTAGGGCTGGGCAGACAATGCTGTAGCCAGCAGACACAAACTTCTGTTCATCCTGAATGTGGCCTCTTAGGTGACAGCTAAGAGAGCATATTGATATATGGGTATCCTATGTCACATGGCATTATTTGCTATGCAGTGCAGGGAGAGAAGCAAGCTAGTGGAGTAATTTGATTGCATGCTGTGCAGGTTCATTGAAAAAGACTTCCCTAAGAAAGTGATGTTTGAGAGGAGAATTAAGGCCCATGGTAGGGATCAGAGATGGCAGACTGGGCAGTATAGATGACAGGAAAAGGACAGTTTTGCTTTTCAAGTCTATGATGGTGACTTGGATGAGATGAAGAATCATAGTCAGAGCAGAGCACTTCTAGCTAAGCATCTCACAGGGATGCAGGAGCTACTGTGTGGAGAGGAGTCTACACACCATGGGGGGCTTGGCTAGGAGGCTACTGAAGAGATAAACATTGGATGGTGATTTGGACTGAGGATAGGTGGGAGTGGGAAAAGCACTCAAGTTCTGGATGTACTGGCTATGGGACTTTCCTCTACCATTTGAGATTCCTTAACTTTACTCTAAGCTCTCTCAGTTAGAAAGATAGTTCCAAATTACATCCTGAGCAGACCACAGAGTCTCAAGGGTATGGGGACTAAGTTGTTCCAACCTGGACAAAGGCAGGTGAGGAGAGGCATGTGATTCCAATGATCAAAAGAATAAAATGTGATTACTGAGAAAAAGGCAGCTGAACTAGACTCAATTCTTTATGGATTTCCTATGGTATTTTTTCCCTAGATAATTGTATGAATTATAGGGATCTCTTTCATCAGTCGTGTGAAGAGAGTGATGATTTAAATTTCACTGCTATTCTAGTTTCAAGTGGCTGTTTGACATTTAAAAATCTTATTGTGAGTGTTGGGGGGAGGGAAGGAGAGGGGAAGGAAGACATACTCTGGGAGGTCTAAGAGCTGTTATAATTCCTTGGGCAATAAAAGCCTGAAAAATCTCACTTTTTCTATTTGCCTAATGATAGCTCTGCTTATTGACACAACCAGGGTTCCCAGAATAATTGCCCTCCTTCCCATTTTAATTCTAAAACACAGAAAACATTTTTTGGGGGAATGTCCCTTCAGATAAAGTGCAGTACATCTCAAAGCTCAGTTCTGGGTGTGACATCTGGCTGTGTCATAAGTCATGGCAGAGACACCTTTCCAGTAGAAGCTGATGGAAGATGGGAGAGGCAACATGCCGCTGCCTGGGGTGAGGTGGAGCCCATGTGCAAAGACCCCACTCTTTCCATGCAGTAGCCACGGCTCTTCCTTCTCACCCCATATCTTCTTGGACACCATTTGTATTTGTTAATGACTGAACCAAAGGGTGTCTCAAACGTTAACAGCATACTGTTAGAGAAATCAGTAACAATAGAAATTTTTATAATATATAGAATCCTAGCTATTTAAGAGACTGAGATCTGAGATCAAAGCTAGCTATGCAGGAAAGTCTGTGTGACTCATCTCTGATTAACCACCAAATAGCCAGAAGTAGAGGTATGGCTCATGCAGTAGAGCACCCGCTCTGAGTGAAAAACTAAGGGACAGCATTTAGGTCCTGAGTTCAAACTCCAGCACATGTACACACACACACACACACACACACACACACACACACACATGCATGTGCACCCACATACATACATACAACTGATCTTTCTTTACATGTGTGTGGAAATTTGAAAAGTGAACATTTGTGAGCCAAAAATTCTCCCTGATACTAAACAAGATGACACAGGAAAGAAAAATAGAACTTTGTATACAGAATTCAAAGTTTAGTTGGTGGGGAAACTGACAGAGCTCCATGCACTAGAGGAAGAAGTGCTTCCATTTAGCGAGACCTGTGGTTCTGGAAGTAGCAGCTAGCTCTGCTTTGAAGCTTTCCATACTGACTTTCTCGAAGGTCCTCACGTGACCCCTTTCAGTTCTTTCTGTGATGCATAACCATCAAAATGCAGCATGGAGCTTACGAAATTCAGTCCAGAATCCATTCCACAAACTCATTAGTGCTTTGGTAAGAACAATTTGTATATGACCAGGTGCTATGTTCTTACCAAAGCACAGAGCTAGCTTCTTTCTAGGCTCAGAAATGGTAAGCAGATTTCCACAAAGAGAGGAAGGCCTAGGCTTGCTATCTCAATCATACAGCCTCTACACAATGTCCCAATAGAACAATTATCATATACTTTATATCCAAGGACTCAGAGATGAGGTTAATTCCAGGTAAAAATCCCATTCCTTTTGTCCAAATGACCAAGACATACCTCCCTTGGCCAGCTGTATTCCCTCCTGTGGTAGGAAGAGGGACTTGCCTCTGATAGCAGCTATTACACATTTGTAATGTCAGTCAGTCTTTTCTTTGGGGATGTTTTGTAAGCCATCTCTGATGATGAAAGATGTTTGTCTTTTCTTTCTTTCAATGCCATTGTCACAGGTTACACAATGGTAACCCTCCTGATCATACCCACTCTTATACACAGCCAGTGGTCATCATCCACACCGTGTGCTGACTCAGTTCAGTTCTGAAGGGCAAGTATCACCTGATGGTTTACTGCCCCACAAACTAGTAGCTTTGTGAAACTGTCTTAACTAAGCCATGAGATTGTGTTCCATATGAAATTCACTCCAAATGGTACCTTCATATTAAATGATATCAGGCTGTTTGGAGTTGAGATAGTGGTCCACTTTTTTGGCCTGTGTTTTGCTATGTGAGCTGATTAGTTTACCTGTGGATCACAGTTCGTTTATATGATTCCAGGAGACAATGAACAGCAAGAGATGTTGCCGAGGAAGAAGAGTGCTGTTCTGGTGGATGGAGTTATACTGAATGGCCCTACAACCAATGCGAAAGCAGGAGAACAGTTCGTGGAAGAGGCCTGTAGGCTAATAATGGAAGAAGTGGTTTTAAAAGCTACGGATGTCAATGAGAAGGTAAATATGAAAACCTATTAGCTGGGTGTAAGAGGTACATGCCTATAATCCTAACTACTTATGAGGATTGCAGGTTTGAAGCGAGCCCCAGCAGAAAAGTCCATGAAACTCTTATCTCCGGTTAACCAGCAAAAAGCCAGAAGTGGAGATGTGGCTCAAGTGGAAGAGCTCCATCCCTGGGGGGAGGGAACAACCAAGAATTTGAAGCTCTGAGTTCAATGACACATCAATGTGTGCTAGGCATACTTCCTTTCTTATTATAAAGATACTTTTCAGAGGGGTTACAGTTACATGAGTAAGGTAGTAAGTACATTTCCTAACAAGCATTGTTACACCTTTGTTTTCCCCCTAGTATCCCTTCCCTCCCCAGGTCCCCAACTCCTTCCTCCCCCACCAATAAAAAGCACTCTCCGCATGTATTGTTTTTTTTATCTTTACAAAGAACCTTAAAGAGATGGGCTATTTACTTTCCTCATTTTACAGATGGAGAAAGGAGTAGGAACTGAAAGCATACAGGTCTTGTCCAAAGATCACAGATTAGCAAGTATCAGAGCTGGGACTAAAATCCAGGCAGTTTGGCTTCAGGGTCTTCTCCATTTATTCCTAAAAACCACTCAATTTTCTTTTTGTACATTCAATACTTTCCATGTTGGAGGTGGACTACCAACAAATGAACGCATGGTAGATGCCCCTCTGTTATAGTAGTAGAAATTAAATATCACTTGAAAATGATTATGAGTGTGGTGGTATTTGTTCTGAAATTTTGGTAATATGATATTGAGGGAATTAACACAATTCCATGCTCACAAGGCCTCTGAACATAGGATAGTTATGTTTAAGGCAAACCCACTGATGGTATTTTATTTATTTATTTATTTGATTGTTTTAGTTTGTTTTATGTGTTCTTCCGTAGTCCTGGGGATTGAACCAGGGCTTCAGGCTTTCAAGAGCTCTACAACTTGAGCTATGCCCATTGACGGCATTTCTTTTTTTCCTCCTCTCCTGTCCTGTGCTCTCCTTCCTGGCCCCTCCATACCTTTCCTTTCCTTTCCTTTCCTTTCCTTTCCTTTCCTTTCCTTTCCTTATTTTTGTTTTTGCTTTTATTTTTTAGTACAGGAATTGAATTCATTGCCTTTCAGTTGTTTTGATTGCTTTCTCTGTTGGTAGTCTATCACTTGAGCCACACCTCCAGCATGAGTATTTGCTGATACTCAAAATGGAGTCTTCCTGACTTTTTACCTGGCCTGGCTTTGAACTGTGATCCTCTGAATCTCAGCATCCTGAGTAGTTAAGATTATAGGTGTGAGGCAATAGCGTTCAGCTGATGACATTTCTTTTCTTTTTTATATATTTTTTCTTGTAACAATACTGTACAGAGGGGCTACATTTCCTATAGAGCTGGCGTTTCTTATCCATCTAAATTCTATATTTATAATTGCACATTGTCTGGTCTTCTCTGTGTTTGTGAAATATTTTGGACATTGTTTTGGAGCACTCTGTTCCTTTGACAATATTTTTAAATTAACTTTCATTCAGTCACTATATATTTACTGTTAATATAACTGAGTTTAAAAGGCATTCAATTCAGCTGTGAAGTACATAAAGAAACAAAATAAATGCCCAGCTTTGCACAGAATTGATAATTTAACTGGAAGGATACACCTTCCCTGGAGAATAAGACACAGTACAAAAGGGACAGATACTGTAGGTTTGAGGTGAGGCTTTTAGCGTTCACAGGAGAGTGGTAACAAGGGCTCTGGTACACAGGTAGGGACCTTTTTTTCTGTCAAGGGCCATTTGAATAATCATAACATTATTGTGGACCATACAAAATTATCAATAACAGCAGATGAGCCACAGGCAGCCAACATGACATATAAATAGCTGTCCCATCGTGCACCGAATGGACTTTATAGGGCCAAAAGATGGGCATCTGCCACCTCTCAAGACTGATGGGCAGAGAAAAAGTAAGGTGGGATGCTAATTTCTGAGATGTTGAAAAAAGCAGGAAGGAAAGTCATACAGCATTGCAGAAGGGCCCTAGGTATTTGACCTAGCAAGGGAACTTTTTTTTTCATCTGGAAAGAAGGGCTCACATAAGTGACCAATGAGAAGCAAAATGAGAAGGGAAGCCGGTGCTGGTGACTCACATCTGTAATCTTTGCTAGCTACTCAAGGTGAGGTACAAAACCAGCCAGGAAAGTCTGTGAGGTGAGATTCTTTCCTCCATTTAAATAACATAAAGCTGGACATGAAGCTTTGGCTGAAGTGGTAGAGTGCCATCCTTGAGCAAAAAAACTGAGTTCAAGTTCCAGTACCAGCATTCCCTCTCCCCCCAAAAAGAGGAGAGGCTTGTGACCCTAAATTACCAGCAAGACCAATAAGGAACCCAAAGTTGGTCACAATGTAGTGGATGTGCAGGCTTTCTAGTCACATGAAGTAGGGATAAAAGCTATTTGGAATTGGTGGAGGTGGGTGAAGTTTATACCTCTAAATTTGCTCACTTAAAAAAAACAAAACAAATCCCACACTTTGGAAGGTGTCTCTCTCCAGTAGACCTTCTTTTTTAGCCATTGGAAAAAAAAGTACTATGATTCATGAGGTTTGGGTAGTCATATGACAATCATCCTGATCAAGATATGAAAATTTCCATCTTCTCTTAGGGCCTTGCTCTTGCTAGGCACATGCTCAACCATTGAGCTGTGCTTCCAGCCCTTGGTACATCAGTGATTTTTGCTATAATATAATGTCTCCTTTTTGTCTAGGCCAGAAGTTGGACTATAATCCACCTATTTCATGCTTTCCATTGTAACTGGCATTGACTGCTATCATGCACTTTTTTTTGCCTGGGTTGGCCTGGAACTTCAATCCTCCTGATCTCAGCCTCCCACGTAGCTGGAATAACAGGCACACTCCTCCCACCCAGATGTTGCTTAAAAGGGGATCAAGCCCAAACTGACTTCAGACCATGATCCTCCTAAGCTCAGCTTCTCGGGTAGCTAGGATTATAGGTGAGAGCCACTGGCTTCTGGCCACAAAGTAACTTTTTTTTTTTTTGGGTCCGGTTGTGGGGCCTGAACTCTGGGCCTGGGCGCTGTCCCTCAGCTCTTCAGCTCAAGGCTAGTGCTCTACCACTTGAGCCACAGCACCACTTCTGGGTTTTTTCTTTTTGCTTATGTGGTGCTGAGGAATCGAACCCAGGGCCTCAGGCATGCAAGGCAAGTGCTCTACCACTGAGCCACCTTCCCAGCCCCACAAAGGAATTTTTTAAGGCTCTCGACAGTCCGTCATTTCCTCTACTACTTTACCTCCTACCCTCTTACTCTCACCTCTGTTCCCACCTCTATGCCAAACTGCTCTTTTCAAGATTCCTTCTTGGAACGATTCGCACGCTTACTTTGTCTTTTTCCAATTTGACTTCTCAACTGTGTTTGGCAGTAGAGCTGCTAAAAGCAGCCATTCTTCTTCCTTTGGGCATCACTCGTGGTTCTTTATCTCCTCCTTCCTCTCTGGCCTGTCTTCCACATGTCATTTCTTCAAGGGCTGATGTTTTGGGGACTCCTGGGCTCTCCTCTCCTCCCTATAGGTTCTCTGAGCCATGCCATTTGTCTGCCAGTGCATCACCAAAGTATACCCTGGGACTCTCTCTTGTCCTTCATGCAAGACTCACACTGACAGCTACATCTATTTTGGATGCTTGAAACTCCTCACTCTATCTATTCCCAAATAGATCTTTCTGTAGCCCCACTGCCACCTGCAAATTCTATATCTAAGATAGAAGATACAGGGATAGAATTGGTCAATTCCTCTTCTCACCCTCAATATTGAATTGATTTCATTTCCAAAGGTTACTTATTCCGAATTTTTAATCCTTCTGGGGACTCTGTACTTTATGTCTGTTTGCCCTCTCAACCAGATCACCATTGCCTGATTTATTATAGCTATTATAGTTTTACTTGGAATCTCCACATAGGAAAGCAAGTGAACATTCAAAACATAGACATGGCCATTTTATTCTTCTATCCTAAACATTACCATGGCTTCTTTAGAACTAAGCAAAATTCAGTAATAATCCCAGAAGGCCCCCACAATGCAACTTGCTTTATTTCTCCACATACTCATTCATTTAGTCTATACATCTCTATTGAGTGTGTTGAATATAGTAGGTTGCGTTAGTTATTGGGATCTGTGTATGAGCAGACAGGCCTCTGCTCTCCAGGACATTATATTGAACTACTAGACAAGTGAGTACCACACTGTGTATCTGAATATGACAAGGACTAAGGCATAAAGGAGAGCGAAGAAAGCCAGGGAGATAGATGGAGATCAGGTAGGCAATGACAGGTGATAGATTTTGTTTGTTGTTTTTACATTTTTGTTGTTGTTATACAAAAGAATTGCCATTTCATGGTAGTAGCTTTTAAGTCAGAGGCTCAGGGTTACTGTCATTGAGAAAGCAACATGTTTGAGCAAGTTTCGAGCAAAGGGAAGGAGTTAGCTCTAAAGGTGTTTGAAGGAGAAGCATTCCATGCCAGGGGCACAGCCATATGGAGACTCGAAGGTGAAACTATGCACAGTGTGCTCAAGGGAATGGAAATGACTCTTCCGGGAAGTAAGTAGAGCTCAAGGAGACTGGAGGGGTGCTGCGGCTGGGGAAGGCAGCCATGCAGGATCCATGTGCATCCTTGTGAAGACTTTAGCTCTTACTCTGAAGAAGCCAGTGGATGCATTTGGCCCCAGATAAGAGGATCACTCTGACTGCTAGTTGATAGATTGTGTGGTGTAAGGGTACCTGCACAGAACAAACAGGGAGCCATATAAGAGGCCAGCTCTGCTAATAAGCATCTTTCTTCCTCAAAGGTCACACTTCAGCCATACCAAGCATACTCAGTTTTCCAGAGATGCAGAAAGCTCCTTGCTTTACAGCTTCTTGTCACTGTATCCTCTGACCTCAGCTTAATTCATTCTTTGAATTTGTGTCATAACTCTGACATAGGCCCTCCAGTAGTCCTTCTCTGGCCATGCCCAGCTCAGATGCCCCCTTACTGGTCACATCGATATCTGTGCTATATTATAACTCTTTTTGTGTCTCCCACTATCTGGAGCTTCATAAGGTCGAGTCCTAGCTACTTTCTTCTTCTCTGTCCTGGGCTGGACTGGGTGTGTGGTTAACAGTGTGCTGTGCTCAACCTCCAGGTGTGTGAATGGCAGCCTCCTGAACAACTGAGACAACTCCTGGACTTGGAGATGAGGGACACCGGAGAGCCACATGACCGGCTCCTGAAACTCTGCCAAGATATCATCCACTTCAGTGTCAAAACCAGTAAGAACTCCAGCTTACGCCTTGATGTGTTCTTGACAAGCCCTGGCACTTTTCATAAAACTAAGAAAATCTTTATGGGATACCAAGCCTGGATAAAAAAAAAAAAAAAGTAGTGATTCTGATGTTTTTGCAATAGTCCATTTAATCCCTAATTCCGTTTTCCCACCAAGGGCTATGATGTATAGATAGGAAAACTGTTGGTGTGTTATAATTTTTAATTTTAATTTTTATAGTACTGGAATTTGAATTCGGTGCCTTATACTTACTAGGCAACCGTTTTAACTACTTGAGCTACTACCCTATCTCTTTTTACTTTATTTTTCAGAAAGGGTTTTATACTTTTGACTGGGAGCCATCTTGGATTGTGATCCTCCTATCGATGCCTCCTCCATAGCTGATATTATAGATGTGTAACATCATGCTTGGCTTAGAGAGTGTTTTTCATATAAGCAGGAATATTTTTATTCAGGAGACATGGATTAACTCTTGGCAGTTGCTAATTACTAAATTAGTCTATCAAATCTGGTAGGACAAAAAGTACTCAAGGCAGATGTAAGAAAAATGAGTTTGTGGTAAATTTTGCAGGAATGCCTCACAGTAACCCACAACCACTATCATTTCTTGTGAATATGCAATGTTTGACTAAAGTGCCCTATTCACCTAGAGAACAAGTCTTAACCGTGAGAGAGTAACTTACCAAAACATTCGTGTCTCAGCTGGGCACAGATGGCTCACAGCTATAATCCTAACTGCTTCAAAGGCTAAGATTTGGGGGATCACAGTTTGAGCCTAACCCAGGAAGAAAAGTTTGTGAGACTCTATTTCAAAAATAGCCAGCCAAAAGGGATGGTGGTGTGACTTTAACTGGTAGAATGTCCGCCTAGTAAACATGAAGTCTAGAGTTCAAGGCCCAGTACCTGAAAAAAAGAAGTCATGTCTTAGTGTGTTGTGAAGATGATCCATTACTTAAAACTATGCAGGCATTACACTTTGGGAATTCTGACACTGGACTAAATTTAGTGAAAAAGTATCATAGAATCAGGCTAAAAATAATTGGATTAGGTTCCCCTGGGAAAGACTTATATGTGTTTCAAAAAAATTCAGCGTTTCAAAAGCAGAGATACATATCTTATTATTATAGTGCATGTCAGAAGTGGAGAATGACATTTAATGCAGTAGATTTTTCGGTTTACTGGTTATTTTCCATAACGTTACCATGGAAATCAATCATAAATTAACACAGAACTTAAAAAAATCTTATTAAAATTACTTGTGGCAAAGTCTGGCTTCCTTTGCCAGATGAGAGAGAGTTTTCTATGTTTTAATGGAAAAGATATTTTCTTTTGAGCTTTGTTTTTTTCTGGAGCTCTTTTTCCTGATCTATTGGTGTTGAGAAAGAGGGTGAGAATGGAGACAGTGGCAGAGGGTAAGCAGAGAATAAAAACAAGAATGAGTGAGAGAGACAGACAGAAAGAGAGACAGAGAAAGAGAGAGACAGAGAGATAGAGACAGAGAGACAGAGACAGAGAGAGACAGAGAGACAGAGAGGCAGAGAGAGGGGGAAAGGGGGAACACTACACTGAATTCTATAATTTGTATCAAAGGGTCACTAATTAAGTGCTTCCAAAATGCTAAAGTAATCACTAGCTTGAATGTCAAGCCAAGCCAGTTAGTCTGCTATTGTGTAGCAATGTTTATACTGTACAAAGCCAAAAACCTTTATGAGACTTTTTCCATGAGGAAAAAAAAAAAAATAAGACAATTGGAGTTTGACATGGGTTCTTGAAAGGAGGCTGTGTTTGAAATAAGCCAAATCAGAAAGTATATGTAAACAGGGTACGAGTGACTTACTCCTGAAATCCTAGATAGTCAGTAAGCTGAGAACTGAGGATATTGGTTCAAAATCAGCCTGAGCAAACAAATCCATGAAATTCTTATCTCCGATTAACTAACAAAAAGCCAGAAATTGGGGCTGGGAAGGTGGCTTAGTGGTAGAGTGCTCGCCTAGCATGCATGAAACCCTGGGTTCTCTATTCCTCACTACCACATACACAGAAAAAGCCAGAAGTGGCACTGTGGCTCAAGTGGTAGAGTGCTATGCTTGAGCAAAAGAAGCTCAGGCACAGTACCCAGGCCCTGAGTTCAAATCTCAGGACCGGTAAAAAAGAAAGCCAGAAATGGAGATGTGGCTCAAGTGGTAGGGCACCAGCTATAAGCTGGGGGTCAAAAGTGAGAACTCTGGGCCCCTGAGTTAAAGCCCTAGTACTAGCACCCACCCAAAAAATTATATGTAAGTTGTATAGCAAGTCACATGTCACTTCTACACTGTCATGTGGCTCAGGATCAAAAACATACGAAGGTCATTTGTGGATACCATCTCAGAGCGACTCCTGTAGGAGAGTGAAGTGCATCTACCAGGAGGGAAATTAATTAATATTTTTAGAAAACAAAGGCAGCAGACAGCAGCACTGGACAGACATAGTCAGATCCATTTCTCAAGGGTTCTAGTTGAATGTGGGGTTCATGGAAGAGTTTTGGGGTGCTGGTTGACCACACCTGTAATCCAGCTACTCAGGAGGCTAAGATTGGAAGATCGCTCTTCAAACTCAGCTCAGGCAGGAATAGTCCCCTGAGACTCTTACCTTGAATTAACCACCAAAAAGCTACACATGGAGCTGTGGCTCAAGTAGTAGAGTGCCAGACTTGAGTGAAAAAGCTAAGAGAAAGCACCCACCCCCTGTGTTCAAACCCTAGTACCAGCACACACACAAAAAAGAGTGGGTGCAGCAAGAAAGACAAACAGGATACAGCAAAGCTCAAAAGAAAGCATGCATGTTTTACTTAGAAGCATTGTGCTTCATGAAGGAGTTTTGTTTCTCTCCTATGTAATCATGTTTTGAATATTTTTAAAAATTGAGGTGTTACTTATAGTCAATAAAATGTATAAATCTGAAGCACTTAGCTCAGTGAACTGCATGTGTGTCATTCCACAAATCATCACACAGACCATCTTCACTTATTTCTAGCCCTCAAAAGTCCCTCAGCCTCTGTCCACCACAGCGCCTTCCCTAGGGCATCCGCAATCTTCCCCTGGAGCTCCACGTGTGGCTTTTCTGAGTTTGAATGTCATGAGTAGAATCACACTACGGATACTCTCTCCTGGATAACAGCTTCATTTATGTTATTGTCATATCAACAAGTTTGTCTTGTGACAGTACTAGGGCTTGAACTCAGGGCCTTGCTTCCTGGCTTAGCTTTTATACTCAAGGATGATGCTCTGCCATATGAACGACAACTCCACTTCAGCCTTTTTGCTGGTTATTTGGAGATAAAGAATCTCAGGTACTTTCCTGCCCAGGCTAGCTTCAAACTTAGCTCCTGAGGAGCTGGGATTACAAGTATGAGCCACTGGTACCCAGATGACAGGTTGTTTTGTTTGTGATTACTATACAGGTGAAAACTTAGTGCCTTGTGTGTGTTTTCTTTTTACATTTTAATCGTATATATTAGTTGTAGAAAGAGGTTCCATTGTGCTATTTCCCTACATACATACAATACACCCTAATCAAATATACCCTTTCTATTATTCTCCCGGGTCCTCACTCCCTCCTCTGAAAAGAACATTGTTAGTTTTTATTACTTTGTTTTCATGCCTGTGTATAAAGGACTTCAACCCATTCACCCTCCTTCACTCTTTCCTTTCACTCTTTCTCCTCCTGCTGGTATCCACCTCCAAACAGAACCTGCTTATCATTCTGGTCATTTATTTATTTTTGTACTTTAAAATTATCTTTTAATAGTTGTATGAAGGGATTGCAATTCAACATGGTGATTTATACGTATAATGCCTGTTAGTCAGTGTCACCCCTTCCAGCATTCTGCTCCCCATCTATCCCAACCCCACACATCCCCTCAAGTTGGCATTCATTTCTAAAAATTAAATTTCTAAAAACTAACTTTTCCATAGGAGAGACAACATATGATATTTGTCTTTCTCAATCTGCCTTGTTTTACTTGACATAAGGATTTTTAGTTCCATTTGCTACTTTCCTGCAAATGACAGAATTTCATTCTTCTTCATGGCTGAATTGTGTTTATATATCACAGGTCTTTATCCACTATCCGTTGTTGGATAGACCCCATATCTGACAATTGTAAATAGTGCTGCTATAACATGGGTGTGTAGGTATCTTGATTATAAGCTGACTTATTTTCTTTCAGATATGCCCAGGATTGGCATAGCAGTATCATATAGAAATTCTACTTTTAGCTTTCTCATAGAAAACTATACTGATTTCCATAGTGGCTACAGTAATTTACACTACAATCATCTATGTATGAGGGATTTTTTTCCCTCCATATTCTCACTAGCATTTGTTGTTGTTTGTTTTCTTGATGATGGCCATTCTGACTGGGGTGAGATGGAATCTGTGTCTTTTTTTTGTTGTTGTTCTCGGTCATGGGGCTTGAACTCTGGGCTTGAGCACTGTCCCTGCGCTCTTCAGCTCAAGGCGAGCACTCCACTGCTTTAGCCACAGTGCCACTTCTGGTTTTCTAGTGGTTTAATGGAGATAAGAGTCTCACGGACTTTCCTGCCCTGGCTGGCTTTGAACTGTGATCCTCAGATCTCAGCCTCCTGAGTAGCCAGTGAGCCACTGGCACTTAACTGTTATTTTTTTAAATGTATTCATTAGCTATTTCTACTTTTTCTTTTGAAAGCTGTTCATTTGTCCATTTTAGTTGGATTATTAGTCATTTTGGTGTTTAATACTTGGAAGCTGAATATCTTATTTTAAATTTATAGATCACCCAAGATTTTTTAACCAGTTGTATGCTGGCCTTGATTATTATTCCTTGGTGGCTCGATTCATGACGGAAGCACTGAACCCCAGTATGTAAGTGATGTGTAACTGGAATTTCACTGGGAATATGGGTTAGAGATGCTTTCTTTCTAAGCAGATGACATTTTGTTTCTCAAATGTTCATCTATGTTTTCTTTTGTGCTCTTTTACCATTAATAATGGGCAGTCTTAGGCCACCAAGCAGTAGTTGAGGAGCTGTTTGGTGGAGGCTGTTTTCATGAACTGGTTCAGCAGCATCGCCATCTCCATTTAAGAAATAAGAAAATGATTTAAGCTGTTTTCCATTCATTCCTGGAGGCAAAGGTGTGCCATTACTAAACATTAGAGACTTAAATAGATCTTGACTCTCCCTTGTGAAGCACAGAATCTAGTGAAAGAAAGAGACAATCGAGGCACATGGTATTCATATAAAAATTAATGTGAAATTCTCACTCTTATGCAATGGAGAGGTGCCCTATACTATAAATAAGAACAGATTTCCTAGTTGGGAGTTCAGGAACATTGTCTCTTAAAAAACTGACAAGTATGAGCTGAAAAAGAAGAGAAATGAGTTCTACGTAATGGTAACTGCATACCCCAATGTCCTATAGTGGGAGGCAGCAGGCCTCCTCCATGAACTGAAAGGTCCGCTAACTGACTAGTGGAGTGGAGTGGAGGAGAGATGGAGAAAAGCCAGGCGTTCAGGGCTCAGGGACCTCAGTTATTCCAGGTACATTGAGAAGCCGCTGGAGATTTCTAGTCATTTGATGAAATTTGTTAATACATTTGTTATTAATTTGTTCTGAAAATTATGGCAAGTACACTGGAGGGGACCCACTAGGATATTGTTTCCTTAGTCAGGTAGTTTTCACTTAGATGGAAGTGAGAAAGAATAGGAAAAATGTGAGTTTAGAAGATAAAACATGAAAAAAAATCTAGATATATGTTGGGCCTTGGAAATGAGGATAGGTGTGTGGTTTCTGAGATACTGTTTAGGTTCCAGAAGTTCATTGCTGTGTCTGTGGACTTTCACTGACACAGGAAGCACTAGATGAGGGGGCCCAGGGGCTGAGACAGTGTCAAGAAGTTTATTTGCAATGACAGGTGTTTGAGTTGGCAGTGACTTTAAGATATCCAAGAGAACCGGATTCAACAGTTTGGTGTCCCTGGGAAGGTATTTGAGGTAGACTTCAGTAGACAGGCTGCTTATTAAGGGTTACTCTTGGGGTCCATATGAGGGACATGGAAGAGGATGGTTTGTATGTCCAGGTCTAGTGCCTATCACTGCTGGCCCTCAGACATCTTTGCAATGACCCATCATCCAGGGTCAAAGGTACAGAAAAGACTTTAGCCTTGGGAAAGGCATTTTCCTGAAGCTGAGCCCATCTTAACAGAGCTAACATAGTTCTCTGGTGCCAGTAAGTCCTTCAGTGACAGCGGGCTGGGACAGAGATTGGTAATAAAAGCATCACAGGATACGAGATGCCTCATAGAATATGTCCATCTGTATGGAACAAGTAGTACAGCAGAGGAAGGTCGAATTCAGAACAGGTGGCCTCCATGTAGGCTAGGCTTTAACATTGTTAGTGTATTCAGAGTAGTAACCTAATATTAACCTGGTTACCAAGACAACAACTACTCTTTGGCATCAGCACCCAGTACAGTAGTCAGAGCATGTGCAGACTGGAATGCCCACTGTCCATGTCTGATACACAGAATCCCAATGCCCTGCATTTTTCTCTCCCATAGAATTAAAGATGTCTTCTAAACTGGAAGTGACTTGCATATCCCTAAGGCCTCGAACCGTTAGAGTAGTCATCTAATTATGACTAGGACAGTCACTGAGGGAAGTAATCCATTTATTCCATATCCATTTATTCCAATGGATAAATTTCCAAGGACTACCTACACCTCTGCGTCCACTGGTTGAAATATATTTCTTGGGACACCGAAGGGATGTTTGGACTGCAGTCATAGAAGTGAAGTGTTTTTTATATCTGTCTAGTTATACGTATGAGGTGTCCCCAGTGTTTCTGTTAGTGGAAGAAGCAGTTTTGAAGAAAATGATTGAATTTATTGGCTGGAAAGAAGGCGATGGAATATTTAACCCAGGTGAGTACAAACAGTTACTTCTATCCTGCATCCACTCTGAGCATCTAAAAATGTATTCCTATGAGGGAAAACTCCTTGCAGACTTACACAGTATACAGAGTTAGACATTAAAAGTGCTACGTGGTAAGCCTGTAGCTGGCACTTTCTCTAAAATGATCATAATTTGCATAATGCTAATTCAGTGGCATGCATACTTAATGAATGAGATGTCTACAATTTAGTACTTACATATCTATAATCTCAGATTTAAATCTAATATAAATGAAGTTTTCTGCTATTGAGAATTTGGAAAGACAAGGATAAATCCTTCAATATTTGCAATCAGTTTTATTTGAGAAGGTTCGCAAATCACATTTATCTTATAATCCTTTTTGTAGACCCAACGATAAACAGGTAGTATTGTTTCAATTTTATTGTGTAGACAACAGATGAAAAAAAAGACTTAACTCTGGATCATTGGCTACTAAATCTGGAGCTCTTAGATTAAAATTTTTTGTTCAGAAAAAAACTGAAATGAGTGAATAGAGCAGAAATTTCCATCTTTGCTAAGATGGAAAAGTTCTAGAATTAGAGATTAAGGAATGGGTAAGAGGAACATTAAGAGTAATGAAGGGTTGTATTTAGATGAATTTCAAAGTGGCTAGAAGAGTTCTGACCATTCATGTTTTGCATTGCATTTGGTGCTTTGAGTGCTAAATCTTCATGTAATAACTATGACATTTTAATTTTGTTTTTGCAGGAGGTTCAGTGTCCAATATGTATGCAATGAATTTAGCTAGATACAAATATTGTCCTGATGTTAAAGAGAAGGGGCTGTCTGGGTTGCCAAGATTCATGCTTTTCACATCTGCAGAGGTAAAATAGTCTTCTTGTTGACAGATACATTGCTTTAGCTGAGAATGCATTATTTTAAAAAGCTTGTTTATTTGATCAGTCTTGCTGTGACTTTCACCTATCCACATGTGATTAATATGCCTGAATATAATCTAGATTTGCATTCCGGGAGAGATCCTGATGAGGTTGGAAGCGACACCCCTAAACTCCAATTTCTACTTTACTTAAAATGCATAGTTTGTAACATTTTAAGGAGAGAACATTTCACTTGAAAGTATGTTTTTTTTTCCTTTGAGTGTTTATTAGAACTCAAATCATCACTACTGATCTGAGATGTTTTCCTCTCAGTTCCTTGTAAATTCACTTTGATTGGCTAGCATGAGGAAATACTGAGTAACAATCAACCACACACACACACACACACACACATAGACACACACAGACACACACTCTCACACACACACACATACAGACACACACACAGAGGAGCTCCTATCTCTTATTTTACCTGCAATAAATTCAAGGTCAAGTATAGCTAAAAGCACTGACATGGAGCTAGGCTTCCCAGATCAAGTTTATCTTCTAACTACCTCAGTAACCTTTGATAAGCTGATAGTCTCTATATCTCAGTTTCCTTAGATAGATAGATAGATAGATAGATAGATAGATAGATAGATAGATAGATAAATAGATAGATAGATAAAAACCTATATCTGTTAACCTTTGTATTTAATACCTTATCCTCAAACTCAGTAGCTTAGAAATTTAACTTTGAATTCATGCTTACAAGTCTCCAAGACAACTAGATAGGTTAGCCTTGCCAATACAGAGTATGGCTAAGCAATGGCTGGTGCAGGAGTTGCTTATGGTGACTTTGTCTTCCACATGGCGCTGAGGTATGCTTTCATGGAGACTGGAAACACACGAGATTCTTGATTTGTGGCACAGGAGTGATGGTGAATAGGGCAGTGAGGAGACTGAATTTTCATGTGATTGTGAGATCAGAACTAAGTGACTCTTTTTCCAGTTTCAAAAGAAGGCTTCATATATCCTGTGCTAATAGGCCACTTCAAGTTGAAGCCAAAAAATCCAGAAATGGAATGGAAATTCCATGGGGGGAAAAAATCTACCTTGGGAACATGCTGTAATCTCAAGTCTATATGTCTACACCATTCATCTAGACCCCACTTTGTAACTCAATCATTTCCAGCTCTTTGAAGATACTTTATTACTGTGTGTTTATCAATAATTTATCCATTACTTAGCTAAAGAAAGTATCAACTGGGCACTGGTGGCACAAATCTGTAACTCTAGCTACTCATGAGGCTGATAGAGGTTCAAAGCCAGTCAGGGCAGGAAAATCCATTAGACTCTTATCCCCAGTTAACCACCAAAGATCCAGTGGAGCTATGGCTCAAGCAGTTGAATGTCAGCCTTGAGCAGAAAAAGCTAAGTGATGGCACCCACGACCTGGGTATATTTCTTTGATTATATATATATATATATTTCTTTGATTATATATATGTGATATATATATAATCAAAGAAATAGTCTTACCTTATCTTTTATGATAGTCTTTCTGCTACTCTTTCCATTAGTTTCTTTGAAGTGTTTGGTCTATGCACAGCTTATGTTCTTGACAACTTGAACAGGTGGATCTTTTGGCTTTTTGCTTCTCCAGACCACCCAAACTCTAGTTTGTACCATCAAATGTATAATATATGCCCTCATACTAAAGGTGTGACTAGGAAAAAGAAGGAAACTTTTGGAGAAAAGTAATAATTGATGACTTGGTCAGCACTATGGCATGCATTTCTTGGGCATGTAGAAATCTTAGGGGTGTCCATCAAACCTAAGATTCAAATTATCTTTAGCATCAGAATAAAACAGTGGCCTTTGCAACCACAAGGTGAGGATCTAAAAGCAACTCTTACTGACCTATGGGAATCATTTTTATTTCCCCAGGGCCTGGAGTTCTAGAGTGCCTATCTTTGGGTTGTATCTCATCATTCCTTGCACCTTAGGAAGGTAGCTCAGGCCTTCCTAACAGGCTGATGTGTGCCATAGGACCTCTTGCAGAGCATGAGGGTGAAGGTTGTCTTATCCAGATTCTAGTTCTGGACTCTTCAGGAATGGAAACAGTTATGCATTCTTGGAGAAATCCTCTGGATATTTCTATTGTGACATTTGGTAGCTCTGCTGTATCTGTTCGTGAAGTTCAACATGAAAACAGTCAGCAAAAGATGGAATGCAATGTCCAGGGCACAGGACCCTCTTGAGGAGAAAGTCAAAGTCATAGACAAAACATCCTTTCGGTTACCAGGAAGTAAAACTTCAGCTCAGTGTTGCCCTTTGTGAGAGCGCTTGATGTTTTATCCTTATAGAGATGAACACCTGCTGAAATTATGGAGCTTTCTGTAGATCTGAGGTTGGGCCTTACACAGACTTACTTATCTTTTGCCAGTGTTGGGAACAAACACCATTTGTTTCTAAATGCAGTTGCTCCTTCTGAATTGCAGCCTTCTAGGTTTTCTCCTTTCCTTGAAACTACTCAGCATGCTGAAGCATCGCCCATTTTTCTTTCATCCCCTTCCAGGGTCCTTTTCCTTCTCAGATGCTCTCAGATGTTTAAGCTTCAGTACTGTAGACTTTTTATCAGTCTCTATCCATTTGAGAATGACATTGGGCTGTACTTTTCCATGAGGTACTTAAACAGTTTCACAGAAGTTATTCCTTCTCTGGTTATAAGGTTTTTATTTAGCATATCTATTGGTTGGAAGCATTTTGCTGCTGCTTAGGGAGAGAGAGCTGTGATTTCCCTTCTAGTCAGAGGGCAGTGAGAAGCAGGTAGTATTTATCATGAAGAAATCAATAACTGTTTGATTGGCACAGTGCAAATCTCTAGTGAGAAGTAATTTACCTTAACTCTATCATCTTAGCTGTGTCAGGTCTGTTACCTCCAGCTAGACAGAGTAGGCTGATGTAGCAAGTAGAGAATTAATTACACTTTTTTGTGTACATTATTACTCCTCAACGTGCATATGTTCTTGTGACATAAATGAAATAGATGCATCTTGCAGGCAGTTTGGATGGGTTCTATTTGATATCTGGAAATTAATTATTTAAGATGGCTTCATTCTTTTTTCTGTGATGGTATTACTTCTGCATCCTATTTTTACAGAGTTAAAAAAAAGTTTCCAATAAAACTCCCTTGACAAAAGAATGAAGAAAATTACCACATTGGAGGGAATATATCAAGTCAAGTATGAAGGCATGAGTACTCTTCTAATGTATTCATACCTACAAAATTAAATTACAAAGGTTTTTTTGGGTACAATAATATCCTTTAGCACCTTCATTTTTCTGGCATGACAAAGAATTAATTGACCACCTGTCCTCACTAATATATAAAGAATGGCATCTCCAATGTTTGAATGCTAATTATTTTATGAGTTCCACATGATGGTGTGGGGGAGGGCAACAATCTGAAGTCTGGACTGCTTTTTGCCAGTGAAAGAGGCCAAACCAATAATTCTAGAAACTTCTATTAGCCCCATTCATAATGCGATGGCTGACAAATGCAACTGTTTATAAGTTAATATTACTTTCGTTCTTGTGGCTTTAGCCACTTTCCTATATATTTAATTTCAGCTTTGCATGCAGCGTTAAATAAGATTAGTCCTGTATCTTATCAGCATTTAGAACCCATTGTTTGCTCTTGGAAATAATTAAACTCTTCTTCAGTCTGTGATTGCAATCTTCCAGTCCAAGTCTTGCTGTCTCCCTAGGGGATTCTGAGTCAGCAGTGGACTAGATTCTAAGTTCCCATTAATGTTCAGCCTTACTTATTAAAAGTACTGAAAGAAGCTTTTCTCAAATGTTTTGCAAAACAACAGCTTCCAGTGACCAAGTTTGTTCCATACGTTAAGTCTTTCATATAGGTTAACCTGTTCATTCCATGGTGAGCTGGTGGCAACAGATGCTGACAATTACTGATGAGCAACCCAGGCCTTGAGAGTGTGTCATTCATCCAATATCCCATCAATCCTGATTCTCTGACCCAGGATCAAAGTTCTCAGTCACTGTATTATTTAGTCATATTCCAAAGATGTATTGAGCTACAAGGGCACATACCATTTAGATGATCAGTGATGCATTTTCTGTGCCCTGCATTCAACTGTCTCCCTCCCCCTCCCCCTTCAATTCAGTGTCATTACTCCATGAAGAAGGCAGCTTCCTTCCTTGGGATTGGTACGCAGAACGTGTGCTTTGTGGAAACAGATGGAAGGTAACTGGGACAGGATCTGGAAGCCTGGTGGGGGGAGGGAGAATTCAGACTGTTTAAAAAACAGTACTCTTTTGCCTGTGGAAATCCTGAATGTAACTGAAAGTCTTAAATCTGTATTCCTTAGAGGTAAAATGATACCTGAAGAGCTGGAGAAGCAAATCTGGAAAGCCAGGAAAGAGGTGAGAAGGGTGAGAACAAGAGAACAAGAAAGAGCAAGGAGAGAGAGAGAGAGAGAGAGAGAGAGAGAGAGAGAGAGAGAGAGAGAGAGAGAGAGAGAGAATATGAGTGAATTAAAGGAAGAGAATGCAATCCATCAAAAGCCAATGTTCTGTGTGAAGAGAGGAGAAAGTGCGTTGGGGTTGAAAACAGGGAAATACGTTTACAGATCTTTTATTTCCACGTATTGACTCTCTAGGTTCTGTTCTTGGATGTTCTCAGTCTCAGATGATCAGAGATGGTTAAAAAATAAAGTAAAATACTGGCATAATCATATTCAGCACTCTTGGCTAGAGCAAGTCCTAAAGATGAACCTAGACTGTTCTCATATTCTTCTGAAAAACTCTTCTCTATGGAGTCTAAATATGTGTGTCTGGCTGCCTTCAGGACAGTTCTAGAGTTGAATGATTTATTTTTCGTTTTTTTTCTTTGTGTGTCTGTGGGGGTGGAGGGGCTTGATGCAGGGCCTGGGCACACTATTCCTTGGCTTTTTTTTTTCTCATAGCTGGTAATCTTCCACTGAAGTAAAGCTCCACTTATAGCTTTTTTTTTTTCTTGTTAACTGGAGATATAAGTCTCAAAAATTTTCTGCCTGGGCTGGCTTCGAACCATGAGTCTCAGATCTCAGCCTTCTAAGTAGCCGGGATTATAGGCATGAGTCATTGACACCTAAAAGTTTTGATTTCTTGATCAATCCATCCTCCCATCTGCTTCTAACCCTTAGTCCTCTCTGTTACTGCCACCTATATTGATTGGTCCTGGGTCTAGTCAGTGAGTGGCAGAATGTCTTGTCTTCATTAGTTTCTAGAACCAATGAAAGCTGAGAAGCCAAGGCATGATCCCTGTTTACCTGCTATAATCCAGTAAGGCTGGCCCTTCACCTGTTTTGAAAAAGTGGTTCATTATTTTGCGCTAGCCACTTTTGCTTCTGAGACCCGCAGACTCTAGATGGGGTACACTACCGCTCTGCTTCTCCTATCTTCACCTTCCTCCTCCGCTCTCAGAGCTGCAGATAGATAGTTCCCTAGAACTTCCTGATAGGTAACAATACTCAGTTGCACCCGCAGAAAGGAAAAAGTTCAGTTCTTAAACTGAAAGGTCAGCCAGTGCCCATTCTCATAGAAATTCACTTGCTAAGAAGCAAGGACTCTTTTTGCTTGGTTTCTGTTTGGTTTTGTGGTAAGTAATAATATTATAGTCTTTGAATCTTTTTGAAAAAAAATCATGAAAGGCACCTCATTCTGAGTCATGATAGATTGTTGTATTTCTTCTGGAGTCTATACATTAAAAATCTCCTATCATTGTGACGTATTTTCTTTCTTTTTGTCTCTGTCTCTGTTTCTCTCTGTCTTTTTCTGTTTCTCTCTTTTGTAGTTCTGGAAATGGAAGCATGAACCTTAATTATATTAGTCCAGTTCTTTGTTACTTGAGCTACGTCCCTAGCGCCTTTGATTTTAGTTTGTTTTTCAGACAAGTTGTCATGCTTTTTCCTGGGCTTGCCTTGGAGCTGGATTCTCCTACTTCTGCTTCCTAAGTAGTTGGTATTACAAGCATGCAAGACAATGCCTGCATTGCTTTCTTGAGATAGAATCCCACTCAATTTTTGCACAGTTGGCTTCAGATCATGATCCATCTTTATCTCCCAAACTACCTGGGATTAAAGGCATGAGTCATCATGGTTGGCTCTATTGTGAATGTATATTATTAAATCTATATTTTTCTTTAAAAAATTTTTAATAGTGTAATGCTATGTAGACTTGATACTTGTCTGATTGTTTAGATTATCATATTTATTTGACTTCAGAGTGAAAGCCAAATGCTTGGGAGGAGTTTGTTTTGCTATGAACCATAGGCATTGATTGAGTTTCATCTTTTTCCACAGAAGTGCCTATAAAAGAAAGAACTCTCACATCATTAATGCTTGCTGGTGAATAGTGCTGAGTGCTCTTTGTTGAATGATCTGTATTACTCCTGCCTGCTTCCTTCTCTCTTTCCTACTCTTAGTGCCTTCCTTCTTCCTCCCTTATCCCCTTCTACTCCTTTATTTCTGCTTCCAGTCCTCTCTTATTCTTTTTCCCACCCCACCTATATGTTTTTCATTTATTTTTGAATTTTAAACTTTTCATTACAGAAAATTTCAAACACAAACAAAGCTAATATGATGAGCCTTCACACACCCATCCATCATTTTCAGTAATCAAGTGACTTCCTGTTTCACCTACACCCCAGCCCCTCCTGCCGTCACTGGATGGCCATGAAGCAAATCCCAAACCTTGTATCAATTGGTCCATAAATTTTTTTGTTTTGTTTTTTGGTCAGACATGGGGCTTGAACTCTGGGCCTGAGCTTTGTCCCTCAGCTCTTCAGCTCAAGGCGAGCACTCTACCACTTGAGCCACAGTGCCACTTTCGGTTTTCTGGTGGTTTATTGGAGATAAGAGTCTCACGGACTTTCCTGCCCAGGCTGGCTTTGAACCGCAGTCCTCAGATCTCAGACTCCTGAGTAGCTAGGATTACAGATGTGAGCCACCAGTGCCTGGCTCCATATTTGTTTTTAATAAGACATAATACTATCATTATATTTGAAAACTAAGCCCTCTTAATTAGCATTAAATATTCAGTCTATATTAAAATTTCTTCCATGTCCTTTAAATAAATAGTTGGCTTATTTAAGTAAGTCTTCAAACAAAGTTCCTTCATGACATTTGGTTGCTAGGTACATTGAACCTTTTCTAACCCATAGCTTTCCTCCTACTTTCTCCCTCAAAGCATTTGTCAAACCAGCTTCATTGGTCCATTGAGGTTTCCACATTTGCAATTTATAGGTAGTAGGAAGGATCTAGACTCTGTCTCTGTCCTACCCAGCCTCTGTTCTATTGTCTGGGATGTGGAAATCAAATCCCTAGACTCCAGAACTTCAAGTTGGATGTTCTACTAGGAAGGATACATTTTTCCTCCATCCACTTTAGGTCTTTGTGATGATATTTGTCACTGTTATTGTTGGTCCATTCATTAACTTTCACCTCATTGCAGCCTCTCACATCATAGACTTTTTAAAATTAACTTTGTGGTTGTTTTTTAGAGCCAGTACTGAGCTTGAACTCAAAGCCTGGAAGCTGTGCACTACCACTTGAGCCACTTCCAGCTCCACTTCCAGCTTTTTGCTGGTTAATTGGAGATAAAGACTGTCATAGATTTTTTTCTGCTCAGGTTGACTTTGGATCTTGACCTTCAGATCTCAGCCTCCTGAATAACTAAAGTTAGAAATGTGAACCACCAGTGCCTGACTTACTTCATGGATTTTACTGACATCAATGATCATTGTCCATACCAGTCAATCCATTAAGTGATGCTATAATTCATTCTCTCATTTCTTCTTTTCTTGATTGACAGGCATTCTACTACAAAGAAAATCCTTTCTTCATTCCTATTTGATTTCCCTAAGGAAGCAGTTTTCACCTATAAGGCAGGATAAATGTTTTATATTTCCCCCATTTACCAATTTTCAAAATAGTGAGATTCCTAGCCTTCCCTAAGCATAGCTTCCCATTTCAAAGTATCATTAACAATTCATATTTCTAGCATGATGGATTCTATTCTACTGCAGTCATTATTATATTCTGTGCTCATTTTTTGTTTGTTTTGACAATGAAAGCATACAAAACTGACATAATTCTATAGTTGAGAACTTGGAAAAATAAAAATTGCTTGAGGCACATTTAAAAGTAGGGCAATAGGCTTAGAGTTGTCCTGTCTTCCCAGGTTTCTTTCAAGCCAGCTAATATTTAAGCCTGGATTTACTATGAACAAAGCCTGCATCCATTCTGCTATATTAAGAGTGGCTAGTTTATTTTTGTCAGTAGATCAGACTTAGCTGTTTTGGTTCAAGCTTTTAACTCTTATTGCTTCAGATATAGAGACCAACACAGCGATATATTTTTTTAGTGCTGTGATTCAACTCCTTGGCTGATGATAATTCACTTAAAAAAATCTTTTAACCCATGACCTTTCTTTGATGTCCTGATAAAGAAGTGATGATCACAAGCCATCAGAAGTTCGAAAGTGATTATTAGCCAGGTGCTGGTGGCTCCTGCCTGTAATCCTAGCTACTCAGGAGGCTGAGATCTGAGGATTGCGGTTCAAAGCCAGCCCAGGCAGGAAAGTCCGTGAGACTCTTATCTCCACTAAACCACCAGAAAACCACAAGTGTGCTGTGACTCAAGTGGTAGAGCACTTGCCTTGAGCTGAAGAGTTGAGGAACAGTACCCAGGCCCAGAGTTCAAGCCCCATGACCAACAACAAAAAGAAAGAAAGAAAGGAAGGAAGGAAGGAAGAAAGCCTACACTAGCATAATGATTGAATACTTTGGAAGTATTTTTGTGTGTTTGCCATGACAAACTTTTTTAGGGAGTATAGCTTGTTGACAGCCTGTAATCAATATTAGATTTGCTTAATTTTGTTATTAACAGCAAGAGATTTGAGAAAAATAGGGAAGGTTAAATCCAAATTGTAAAAGTTTAATACCTGGGCAAGACTGTTTTGTGTATGTGCAAATACGGGGGTTTGAACTCAGGGCCTCCTGTTTTTACTTGGCTTTTTCACTCAAGGCTGCTGTTCCATACTTCAATCACACCTCCACTTCACTTTTTTGCTGGTCAATTAGAGACAAGAGTCTTACAAACTTGTCTGCCTTGGCTGGTTTCAAGCAAGGATCCTCAGATCTGAGCCTCCTAAGCAGCTTGGATTACAGACAGGAGCCATGAGTGCCTGGCTTAGAACAAGATTTTTTTTTTTTAGAGGTGAAGAAAATTCATTAGTAAGTTATCATAGCTTGCATAGGTGTTTTCTTCAGACTGTCAAGATGTCAGGCAGTTCATAGGGAAAGCCCAGCCATAAAGACACTTTCAACAGTTTTAGTAAATTACTTTTACTGATGCTTTTAATAATTGATGTAAATTTGTTCTCATTTCATTTAGGTCACTGACATGATAAAGACTTAATCTGTTGTGGTTGAGTACAGGGAAGAATTTGCAAAGCCCCTGGTTTGCCAGGGGCTTTGTCACCTACCTCCTGACCTGGCTCTGAGAGGTTTGGGGGTAGACCCCAGCCTCTGTGTCACAGCTGTCTTCCCAGATGGCAACTGGATTCATTATGTTCCATCACTTTGATTCCTGGGCATCTCAATTTGGAGATGTGGGACCAAGTGGTCTTGTTCTGCCCCACTTTCCGTTGAGAAATAACATCTTTCTGTCAAAGGTCAGTTAAATTGGAATGAGTTTGGTTCAAACACAACAACCTCTGACATCAAAGGATATTAAAATATATTGTCATACCAATGCACTTTGCGGTAAAACTGAAGGGGAAATGGCATCACATGCTGTATAGAGGTAAAATGCCTTTCTGAGTAAAATAATAACCTGACAGGAGTCAGGTGGACTGGACTCCTAGGATTCTAGGTGCTCCTTACAACTTCAAGGTTGTAAGTTTTCCTCCAAGATTATTCCACATCACTGCCGCCATGCTGGTGTTGACATGTTTGGAACAATCTCCTCAATTCTTCCTCTACTTGGTTAGTTCAAAGCCCCTTAATGGGGCTAAGATACGTGGCTAAGGTAGCTTCCAAGGTAGCCAAGTCCTTTGGCTCCCATTTTTCCACTGACACCTGCTCACTCTGCAAGTTGCAGCCACGGACTCTGTGAAAACCATGTGCAGGGGCAATGCAAGCTCTTCTTCCCAGCAGGTGCAGTGAATTTCCCCTGCAGTACCCTGGGCATGGTGCTGCATGTGAGGTAGCCAAGGTCAAAGTCCGATTCAGATTTTACTGAGTCTCTACCTGAGCATATTATGGCTTGGTAACTGAACTTACTTTACCAGGAGAAAAGTAGACAAGCCTGCCTGCCTGCCTTAAACCCCAGGGCTGAGGGGTTTGTCCTCCTGTCTGATCCTTTTTGTTTGTTTGTTTTCTAGAAGGAGGAGGAGGCTGACATTATGGAAGTCCCAGACATTTCCCCAAGAAGGAGTTAGGAACCCTATGGAATGTTGGGTTACCATTACTGTAAAGTTATTCACTTTCTATCTGGGTCATCTTCAGAACAGAAAATTCTACAGGAAGCAAATGAAAGCAATTATGATGAAGCTCTGTATTGAGTCAGGACGAAAGTTGCTTAAACATGTTTGCCATGACAGGGGCCTGCACAATGTAGAAGTTTTTAAAACACCCATTAAATTAACAATTGTCGCCTAAGAATCTTGTATATCTCTGGATGCTTTGCCTTTTGTGTTTATCAAACTACTACTGCAGAGTAAGTTTTGTTCTGACAGTGACGATTGTCTTTGTGTGTGGCTCTTTCTTACAGGGGGCCGAACCCTTCCTTGTCTGTGCCACGGCAGGTACCACTGTCCTGGGTGCCTTCGATCCTCTGGATGAAATAGCAGACATCTGCGAGAGACATGGGCTGTGGCTCCACGTGGATGTAAGTTCACCTATGAGAACGTAACACGAACTCCCTCCTCTTCTAACTTTCTTACTCTCAGGAACTAGATCTGAAGCCTTCCTCCTTTCAATCGTGGCTTTAACTTGGGGAGTATGTGTGGCATTTCCTGTAAGGTTCAAGGAGCATCCAAGATTTCAAGTGTATTTTGATTTAGTTTTGTGGGTTCCAAGTTATGACCCGTCTTCGTATCATTTATTTATGATTATATAGTAGTTATAAACTATATAATTTATATAGTCTCTTTTCATTGTATATTATTTTATCAGCATCCATCTGTTTTATGTGGGATTTTTGGTGACGTTTCTATATATGTTGACAATATAGCTCAACCAACCACTCTCCTCTATTACTTTTCCCTATCCCCTTCTCCCTTATAAGTTTCATCGCTCTGTTTTCATACATGCAGTAAACTACTTCAATCCTATTCATCCTCCTTCCTGCTCCTTATAACTTTAGACAATCTCCTGCTAGGACCCACTGCGAAACAGACCTGAATGTAAATTCCTGCCATGCTTTTTTGGGAAGGGATAGTAGGAGAAAAACAAAGGAGGTGGTAACAATGTTCATCAAGAAGTGTACTCATTACCTTACTCATGTAACTGTAACCTCTCTGTACAGCATCTTTACAATGAAATAAAATACAATTAAATAAAAATAAGTAAATCTATGACCTGAATGGGTTTTATTTTTGTTATTCTTATCTTTAAATAGTTGTACAAAGGAGTTGAAATGCATCTTGATCAGTGTCACCCTTTTCAACCCCCCTTTGATTCACCCCTACCCTTACTTTTCTTAATTTTATAGTATATGCTCTGCATACTTGACTACATTCTCCCCTGCCTTCCCGCTTCAGTCATCTACCCCTTTTCCCCACAGCTCCACCCCTCTTTGCAGGTACCTATTTCCTGGTGCTTATTTTGTTGGGCTTTGTCATTCATTTTTAAAGTGTGTATTGAATTGCACTGAAGGGTTTCATCATACTACTCCATATGTAATCTGCCTGCTGTCCATTGTAATCTAAGCCTTTGGACTTTAGTTTCTTCCTTTGGGAAGGGAGATGGCTAATGTATTTGATAAAGAATTTTCTAGCTCTCAAATGGTATGATTCCAATCAGCCAGAAAATGCAAAAAAAAAAAAAAAACCCAACTTGCATTACTTAATTGCATAGTATAATTAAATCAGGTTTTCTCAGAATCTATCAGAGATAATTGTTTGAGGGGGATTGAGATCATTTATATTCTTTTTAATTTTCTAACTTAAAGGGTTGGCTTTATTTTCTAATTAATTTCATAAGTCCTGGGGGCTATTCATAATACAAATTTCCATAAATTAAAGGTAACTGTTATTATAAATCTGCTTATCCAGGGTTGAAATGGTGAACTCAGATAGCTATGCATACTTGTTGAGCTCTGTGGTTTCCTTCCATCTTTTTTCTCTTTCAATTTTTTGTTTTATGAATCCAGGAGTCAATTTGTTTGATTCTACCTAAGGAAAGGGACGGTTGAACACGTTTATGAGAATTTGGCACTATCTTGAGCATTATCCCGAGGGTCCCAGAGCTTCCTGACCAAACAAATATGTTTTAACTTACCAAGTAGAAACAGTGGAGGATATTCCCATATATAATTTTGTACTTTCAAAACATGTCCAGGCAGGTGTCTTATGGTTCACATCTATAATCCTAACTACACAGGATGCGGAGATCTGAGGGTCATGGTTTCAAGCCAGCCAGGCAAGAAAGTCTGTGAGACTCTTATCTCCTTGACCAACAAAAAGCTGGAAGAGGAGCTATAGCTCAAGAGATAAAGCACCAGCTCTGAGGGGGAAAAAAAAAGCTACACGAGAGCTCCTTGGGCCTGAGTTCAAGCCATGGTACTGGGGTTAAAAAAATAAGCAAACTAATGTCCCAAACTGATGTTGCTCAAATATGTTCTTAAAGAAAGTATTTCTTAACAAGTTCCATTTTTTAATTTAAAAAATTAGAGAGATTTTCTTTCATATTTATAAATCACAATTCTCTCTAAGCCCCATAAATCTTTAAGAATCATTCCCAATTTAAAAACTGCCACAGAAGCCTCATTTTACATAAAGTGTATAATCCATATTTGATGTTTTTTTAATGAGAGTTGAATATTTAAGCATCGCTGTTTATGTATTTGATTATTTCTCTTTATTTCCACAGTTATCAAAGAACTCAACTTCATATTATATTAGGGCATAATGTATTGTTATGCTTTTAAATCTATAAAATCAATACAATGAATGTTGAAATGTGAGCAGATACCAATACTGAAACCCCATTTGAAGAAGTTATAAATTACCTACCTGAAGTGTTGCTATTGGCCAGCTAATAGAGTATGTCATTTTATTCAGCTTTACATTACCACCACTTTCGCTAAATATTAGATATACTTAAAAAAAAACTTGAATTGCTAAAAATCAAACAAAAAAAAACCCTTTGTTCATATAATATGATAGACTATTTTGGAAATTTACAGGTCCTTTAAAATATAAAAATGTATTTATTCTTCTTCAAATACAATTATGATTACTTATTTTCCTTGGTTTCCCATGAATCCCAGGTTGCCATACATTTGTATCATATTTTATTAACTTTATTTTATTTGTATCATATTTTTATTAATATGAACTTTCAAAAATATCTTTTTTTTTCAACTCTGGGCCTGAGAACTGTCCCTGAGAATTTCAACCTAAGGTGAGCACTCTGCCACTTGAGCCACAGAGTCACTTCTGGTTTTCTGGTGGTTAACTGGGGACTTTCCTGCCTGGGCTGGCTTTGAACCACAATCCTCAGATCTCAGCCGCCTGAGTAGCTAGGATTACAGACGTGGGCCACCAGCACCTGGCTCAAAAATACTTTTGCAGGTAGAGTACCAGCTTGAGCAAAATAGCTAAGGGACAGCAGCCAGGCCCTGGGTTCAAGTCCCATACCAGCATACACACTAAAATTACTTTTTTCATCTCTGAATGTTTTTTCTTCTTTAGTGGCATACAAAAATGATAACTCATATATTGGATGTTATCTTGAATTTGGTTCTCTACTTAACCATTGTAACATATATTTTAAGTATATATATTTTAGGGTGTTTTGTCTCGATGACCATTTTGTTTTCTGTGAAAGCAAAATGCCATTCTACCTCTGCCCCAGCCTTGGTCAGGGCTGGCCCAGGTCTAATGTGTGACAGAGGCTGGTGGCTTTGCCAATTCTCTCCATCCAGGCAAAGCTTCTAGACACTTGCTCATCATTCATTCCAAGTCCTGGAGCAAGTTTCAAACGTTGTGTGTAGAGCCATGGACTTTTAGAGATCAGTCCTGTTTTTACCTCTGCCTCAAGACTTTTTTTTCCTATCAATCAGTTCATGAAAGAGAAAATATATATATATATATATAAACTGAGTGTTGATCACTCACACCTGTAATCCTAGCTACTCAGAAGACAGATCCTGGTGAAGATTGCTATTCAAAGCCAGCAGGACAGTCCATGAGTCTTATCTCTAACTACCCAGCAAAAAGCCAGAGTAGAGCCGTGCCTCAAGTGTCAGAACACTAGCCTTGAGCAAAAATACTCAGGGATAGTGCCCAGACCCCAGAACTAGCACCATAATAAAATAAAAAAGTGCGAAATAATTATTGTGTTACCTAGCTTGTAGAAATAATTCAATAATTGAAAGTCCTTATTGAAAACCTTATAGAAAACCAAGTTCCTTCAACATTTAGAGAAGGATGTTTTTTGCAAATCCTTGAGTTAGGAAAATGGAATAACTCCATTCTCAGTTGATGTGGAGAACCTTCAACATGGTTCAAGCCATTTCCTTCAAGCTGTCTACAGATTAAAACTCACACCAACACAAATAAAATAAAATTAAATTAAAATAAAAAAAAACGCACACCAAAGTGACTTTTCATATTTTCTGGATATATTACTTTGCCTTCCCTTCCAGATGTATTGTTTATGGGACTTCTTTCGTCTCCTTTAACCTCATCTCTTCTCCCCGATGCTTAGAGAATTGACCTCTCCAATACATTATTTCCTTAATTCACAAGCTTCCCTTCTTCCACCTATGATTTGCCAATATTTCAGAGAACCCCAAGGCTGAAGGGATCTAATTATTATTGAAAGATGATTCCCTTCATCCCATTTGAGTTTGCCTTCCATCCATGTTGTCAGCAATGTAGCCCATTCATTGTATAGAATGCCAAAACTTCAGCCACGACTCACAGTACAGTAAGTATGGCAACTGCCAGCCTCATGAAATCATTGCCTGCTTTTAATTTCTAGGGTTGAAGATGGCACCAATTTTCTGTGTGTGTGTGTGTGTGTGTGTGTGTGTGTGTGTGCTTATACTAGGGCTTGAACTCAGAGCTTGTGTGTGTGTGTGTGTGTGTGTGTGTGTGTGTGTTTTCCTGAAAGCTAGTGTTCTACCACTTGAGCCACAGCCTCACCTCCAGCTTTTTTTCTGGTTAATTGGAGACAAAATCTTTCAGATTTATCTGCTCACTCTGACTTCAAACTGTAATCTTCAGAGCTCAGCCTCTTGAGTAACTAGGGTTACAGGTGTAAATCACTGGCTTCTGCTACCAAGTGTGTCATTTCAATCCATTTTCATCCATCCAAAGCCCAACTGGCCAACATGCCAATTTGTTTACAGTATGTTCTCTTACATTCTGCTGGTCAATGAAAAGCTTACTACTCTGAAGAAGTTCTGGATGTTTCAATACTACCAGTGGAGTTCCAGACAGCACCAGTGGAGATGTCACTGAGAGTTATCTGTGGGAGTGCCCCTGAAATAATGTTATTCTTGTTATATAAATATCTCAACAGGCTTCCTGGGGTGGCTCAGCTTTGGTCTCTAGGAAGTACTGCAAGCTTCTGCATGGCATCAACAGGTAAATGCTGTTTTCTATTTTGTAGCTGACTTTCTTTAGGCAAACAAGTTTCTTTGAGATTTTCCCTGGCAAGTGGTGCTTTTTTTTGTTTATTTTTGCCTGTCAATCCTGAGGCTTGAACTCAGGTCCTGGGAACTGTCCTTGAGCTTCTTTTGTTCAAGAATTACCCTATGAAATAAAGCAAAGAACAATATCAACAACAACAACAACAACAAAAATCCTAGCATAATGAAAAAGCAACCAAATTGCTCCAAACTCCACAAACTCCTCTAGAACAATGACTTGTGAATGAAGACTGAATGTAGATACTGCTAATGCCAGATTTCCTTCTACCTTGGAGAAATTAATCAAGTGTCTTGCCTGCTCTGTCCCTTTCTTTGTTTAACACAATAGGGCCGATTCAGTGGCCTGGAACCCACACAAGATGTTGATGGCTGGAGTCCAGTGCTGTGCTCTACTGGTGAAAGACAAATCCGTAAGTTTTCCTCTCTGGTTTCTGGGAGACTATGGAGTTAAATCAGTATAGGTAAAGGCTTCAGTTGCTAATCCTCTGATGTTTCCAACCAGTAGTAGGTGCAGTTCTTTGGGAAATGATGTTGGCCTTGAAAGATAGACTCAGATAAAAGATCTAGGGATTTTTGGTCCAGTAATCTTATGAATGTGACTTAGGTAAACTATCATTTTTGTTGTTGTTGTTATAGAGAAATGCTCTCTCTCACCCTCATTTGGATTATATTTTCAAACTCAGTTTTGAATGTTATTGAGTGACTTTTTTTTTCCTTGTTGATTAAGTCTGGGATTTGAGTGATCACAAGATTTGTCACTGAGAAAGTGTGACAGATGTGGGTCACACAGGAAATTGAATGCTTGATGTGCTTGGCTGAAACTCAACAGCTATTTGCATGAGAACCACAAGTTCAGTGCTGATGGTGGCATGCTAATTTATTAGGGGATGGCTTTTCTCAAGTGGCTAGTGCTTTTTGAATGAGGTAGAGGGCTGGAAATTTGTATAGATGATGGGAAGGAGGTGGGACAGGAGTTGTCGGTCCCGTTGGCTAGAGGCATCAACTCTGTGTTTTCCATAATTAAATAAGGATCCTGGTGGGAAGTGGCCCAGACTGGCAAGTGCTGCTGCTTTCTTCGAAATGCCTCTTCAAGCTCTGTGTTCAGAATGTGGGCGATCTTTCTCAGCCATCTGTTTATATTTTTCCCCCTGGGGAACTCCCTTGCCAACATTAAAGCCATTTTATTTTTATTTTTAAGGCTATTTAAAATTCTTTTTTTCCCAAAAACTGTTGTGATATTCATATGTTAATATCCTGGACATTCTGATATGATCAGACAATGTCCACCAGAATCTACGAACCGTTTGTACACATGTGAACACTAAGGAAAATGAGTCTGCCTTTCTGTGAAGTTGGCTATGGTAGATTGTATCCAATACCACTTTATCTTTCTAATTTAAGTCCTTAAATTGCTCTGTGATGATAACTGAAAGGTAGTTTAAGATTAGTGTATCCAAGTCCAGCACTGGTGGCTCACATTTAGAATCCCAGGATAGCTTGTAATCTTAGCTACTCAGAAGGCTGAGATCTGAGGATCAGAGTCCTAAGTCAGCCAGGGCAGAAAAGCCCATGAGATTCTTATCTCCAGTTAACCGCCAAAAAATTGGAAATGTGGCTCAAGTAATAGAGCACAGATCTTGAACAAAAAAGCCAAGTGAGAGTTTGAGACCCTGAGTTCAAGCCCCAGTACTGGCATGCACATGTGTGTGCTTGTACACATACACACACACACAAGATTAATGTATCATGTATGAGCTATGTTCAATTTGCCCATAGCTGTGCTTTTAGGAGATAGAGTTAAATGTAAGCCATAGTCTCCTTTTAGACTAGATAAAAGAATATAAATGCATAGGCATATTTAAAATGACAGGCATTTGACATTCGCTTTCTTCCTACTCAGCCGACCCAAATGACAAACTTAACTGTTTGTGTGACACTCTCAGGAATGGAAAATTTAGAACAAAAGTTTTATGACTCTCTTTTGAATAACTCAAGTACTTCTGTAGAGTTTTCCTTCTTGAATGATATTTGAGTGATTTAGCCAAGAATTGATTTACATTTATGTACTTAAGACATTTAAATTGTACTGGATAATATAACTCCTTGACAGTGGTTAAAATTTTACTTTATTTTTTTTAAAGAAATCATTCCTGGATCCCACTGATAACAATAAAACCCAGGTCTACTCATACAGTTGAAATTGAAAGGTTAAGGGAATCGCATTCACCATCAGGAAATTTAGTGTGTTAAAGTTACACACACACACACACACACACACACACACACACACACACACACACACACACACATATATGTTTTTGATGAAAAGATCATTTTTAATCCAAATGGAATAGTAAGATCAATCATGATATATGAGCCAGGCTAAGTCTCTCTCTCTCTCCTTTTTGTGTGCATTCTGGTGCCTCACATTCTCTCTTTGCTTTTTTCACTTAAAACTGGTGTTCTGCCACTTGAGCCACTGTTAAACTTTTGGCTTTTTGCTGATAAAGTTAAGATAACTCTCAGACTAAGCTAGGTGCTGGTGGCTCATTCTTGCAGTCCTAGCTATTCAGGAGACTGAGATCTGAGGATGTGAGGTTCAAAGCCAGCCCAGACAGGAAAGTCTGTGAAACTCTTATCTCCAATTAACCACCAGAAAACCAAAAGTGGCACTGTGGCTCAAAGCAGTTGAATGCTATCCTTGAGCACTAAGAGGCTTCCAGCTCCATGACTGGCAGGAGAGAGAGAGAGAGAGACAGAGAGAGAGAGAGAGAGAGAGAGAGAGAGAGAGAGAGAGAGAGAGAGAGAGAGAGAGAGAGAAATATGAATGGATGAATGAATGAATGAATTAAATGCACTTATTGCATTAAGGGTCTCCAGTGGGTAGTCTGTGGCTTGAACTTAAATGCTTCTTTATCTGATGCAGAGAGTAGCTTAGCACAAAGTGGGAAGACTTGATATGGTCAAGGTGCAAAGAACAGTTTGTATGAATTTTCTAAGGAGAGAAAGTCTTTGTTAAGTTTGAGAACCTGAGAGAGCTTATTGTGGCTGAAGGACAGAGGGTGGTATGAAATGAGACCAAAGGATAAAGCTGTGAGTAGCTCATGTCAAATCACAGAGAATATTTTAATGACTTTAGACTTGATCTTTGAAAGTAGAAGAACTTTAAAGTCAGAGAATGATCTGAAAAGATTTTCATTTAGTTGTTTCTTTGTATGTCCCTCCCCCATGGTATAACCCCTGCTTTCACTGTATTTGATGTTGTTATAATTTGTGGAGGGGAAGGGAAAAAAACAAATAGTTTAAATAGGGATACAGGTGGACCCATTGCAACAACGAGATGTACAAGTCGTTATGTCAAAAACGAACTTTACAACTTTGGTGGGGGGGGGAGGGTTGGGTGAGGGGTGGGGGGAGGATGGGATGGGAAGGGGAAACAAAGGAGGAGGCTACAATGCTTGATAAGAAATGTACTCATTATCTTGCCCATATAATTGTAACCCCTCTGTACAGTATTTTCACAATAAAAAAAAAAGATTTTCATTTAGGACAGTAAATTGGAAGGGAACATGAGTATACATAATAGCAAAGATAGGTCTTCAGTATCTAAACAAGAGCTGATGACAAGGAGTAGAAAAATAATGTTATAAAATCCTGGCTATGTCTAACTATCAAGTAGGCAGGAATAAATTCCCACTTACATATGGGGGGTGGGGAATGAAGGAGAAGCAGGTGTTATACTTGATTCCCTATGATGGATACAGCACTTAAGTGAATGAATGGTCCTGTTTAGGAAGATGGAGGAGGAAAAGAATTCAGAGTGAAATATGTTGCCTTTAGAGGTGGACATATGAAATGTGAGGTCCCAATGAGATATTTGAGTGTCATGTAGGCAGTTGACACAAGGATTGGTTATATGACAGGAAGTCTGGGCTAGAAAAGCCTATTTTGAATAGTTGACATATAGGTGATAGAAGAAACCCTGGAGGGACAAAATGGAATGACCAAAGAAGAGAGTCTTGAAGAACTTTATCATCTACAGATTGGATAGAAGAGGAAGAAGGCTAAACCAGAATGCCCAGGGCATTAGCATGATTAGGAAACAGTAGTGCTAATCAAACTGACAGAAGATCAAATGGAGGGAAAAGTAGTATCTTTCTCTCAGTAATGGCAAGCCTCACACCTGAAATCCCTATGATAAAAGAGAAAAGCATGGGGCTGGGAAGGTGGCTCTGTGGTAGAGTGCTTGCCTTGCATGCATGAGGCCCAGGGTTCAATTCCTCAGCACCACATACGCAGGAAAAAGCTGGAAGTGGCTCAAGTGATAGAGCACTAACTTTTAGCTGCAGAGCAGAGGGACAGCACCCAGGCCAAGAGTTCAGGCCCAACAACCGACAAGAAAAGAGAGAGAGAGAGAAAAAAGCATAACGGGCATATTTATCCAAAGTTGTATGTGACATAGGAGACTTTAGAAATAAAAACTCAAAAGCCCAGGGAAAATTGAGCATAGAGAAGAAAGACTGGAGGGCAGAGGTCTTGATCTGATGGTAATAGATTGGGATTAGGGAGTGGGGAATGGTTTTCAACACCTATTCCAATTATTATTGGTATCTGGGTGCAAGGTAGGACTCTGTAGAAAGGGGGGTCTTACACTTTATTTCAGGGAGAGTTCCTCAGAGAGCTCTTCTGAACTGCTTGAAGAAGAAAGATGGTAGCAGGCCAGAGAGGGGCCTATACTGGAGTCTCGCTTTGAGCTCTTAACAGTGTTAATAGGAATATGAATGGATGCCATCCTGTCATAGCCTAAATGGCACTTCCTTAAGCCCAAAGTTCACGGACATCTCTCCACTCTCTTCTTAGATGGCTCCCTTCCTGTGAAGCTCGTGCTACTATGAGTGATTATGATTTTCTCATAAATCTTTCCCTTCCACTAGGATACAGGTACCTTAGGAGAGGGACTGATACTGATAACAGGGAAACTGTCTCTGTAATAGAAGAAACAAAACTGAGGTGAAAAGCAGGAACTGACAGGCAAAGGCTGGGTGAAGGCTGTACCTCAGGAAGGGAGGTGAGAGGCAGTACTGACAGAGGGAGAGGTCAGATGGCCAAGATGGCTGACCTGGGCTGACGTGCTTTTCCTGCAGCATATCTATGCCATGTGCCATATACCTTTTCTAATGAACTTTTCTAGAATCTTTACTTGGAGTGGACAAGAGGGGTGAGAGAGAGAAAAGATTAGAGAAGAAAGCAACCTTTTATCAGGTTGTTTGGCAGGCCTGGTATATCCCACTAATCATGAGTATGGTATTTAAATTTTTTTCTTTTATCTGTTATAAGAGATTTTCTTTTTTTTCTCTCCTCGTATAAGAGAGTAATTAACAGCCAGTTCATCCTTGAAGATATCCTGACA